CTAAGGCTGCCTTTAGTCAGTTGTTTCTGAGTTACACGCTAACAGCCAGAGAATGTCATGTGTGAAGTGGCCTGTGAACTGGGTGCCTGCAAACTCTTCAGCATGCCATACACAGTTCCACGAACGAACATTTTGCAAAGTGTCCCCCACCCCATTCCCATTCTAAGGAACACCAACCTGAGCATGCACACACCCCTCCACCAATGTTCTGAAATCTGTTCTCTGTATACTTATTTCTTCTACAAATGTGTTCGCTCTCTGGGATGAACTTAACTTTACTAATAGGTTATCAGTCATTCAAAATGGACCATGGCAGTGTGTGAAATGGCAGGCTGTGAGCTGCACAGCACCGTAGCATTGACCTTAGCATTGAGGGCTGGTGCGGTGTAGTGGTTAGAGCATCAGCCTAGAATCTGGGAGGACCAAGCTTGAATCCCTTGCTCATTCATGGTGACCTTTGGCCTGCCACAAGCTCTCAGCCTAACCTACCCTCACAAGGTCGTCCTTATGAGGATTAAGTGGAGGTGGGGAACAATGCAAAAAGCCACTTTGGGTCCCTGATCAGGGAGAAACACAGGATATAAATAAAATAAAATAAAATAATGGTCACTCTGCATCTGCTCCCCACTCTTAGATTTGTCTTCTATGGTCCCTGAAGAGGGGACTGAACCCAGACGAGTGACGAGCCAACCAAGCCAGCCGAGCAACATTTTAACAAGGAAAGCTGCAAATGGCAAAATAGGGGGAATGAGGGAGTGGTTTTCTAAGGAGAAGGGTCACAAAACAAGAGCAGACAAGAGCATATGCCTTAGAGAGCTCTTCTAGGCCAAAACAATACTTTAAAAACACGGCAAGTAATGAGATTAAAGAAATCTTTCTGACAAGAAAAAAGAACCAAATGGTAGGAGAGTGATGCAGCAAAAATCTGTCTACGGCAGTCCTCCGCATTGTTAGGCCAGGAATCTCAATGTGCTGACTCCCCCCCCCCCGCCCCCCCACCTTGGTTAACCACCTCTGACAGTTTGTTGGGGTGCCGTATGATAAGACTGACTGAGTCACAAGTTTTAACGGTAAGACTGATTTTAAATAGTGATGCTGTTCTTATTGGTTGTTTACTTGTTGGAAGCCGCCCTGAGCCCTGCTTGGCAGGGAAAGGGGCAGGATAAAAATTGAATGAAGGAATGAGTGAATGAATATGAGGGGCGCCAGCAAAAATAAGAAAATGATCAGAACGAGCAATACTGTGCTGTGCCTCAGAATGCCAAGGTCATTTCCCCCCTCTATTTCAAATCTCCGTCCCCCAAATATAAGAAGTCCACCGTGCTGCTCTGTCCAGCACTAGCGAGACAACATGTGGAGTTCACTGATCTGGTCCAGGTTCCATATTTGGTGGGTCTTGACACAGAAGAGTCAGTGTGGCATTGGGCTAGGATCTTGACGGTGCCAGGTTCAAATCCCTACTCTGCCAGGATACTTCCGCTGGGAAGAAAGGTGGGTTATAAACGAAGTAATTAGATATAACAAGAGGCGGGACCTGCAATACTTGCGGGGGGGGGAGTATTCTCCACGACTCAAAGCCTGAAGAAGCAGGATACACTGCAGGAGCCAGTTTGGTGTAGTGGTTAAGTGTGCGAACTGTAATCTGGGAGAAAGGGCTTGTCTTCCCGCGCCGCCGCCAGCAGCCACAGTTCCTGTTGGTAAGTGATTTCTCTGCGAATGCACAGGGAAGGCTGTTTTACTTTTTGGGGGATTTAAATATCCCCCTACTCTTCCCCACTTTTTTGATTTTTCTGTACATCTGGGGATTGCCTCAAATGTGCAGGAAAATCTCCCTGCCTCCCAAGTGTCCCCGATGTGCGGATTTAGATATCCGCACAGAGGGGGCATGTTGGGAATTAGATATATAGATGTTTCTAAGGCTTCTAAGATTTAGAAGTGAACTGACGGCAGAGATTAAGATTGCTTTATCTTCTCTTGTGCACACTGCTTTGAGGATTTTTAGTCAGGGAGGCGGGCAGCCCCCTTCTCTAGTGGGCCTCCCCCTCAGAGGGTCAGATCTGCATTACCATCTCAGGAGCCACGCTAGAAACAGACCGCATCTATGAGGCTTTAACTATGATTGTACCGGAGAAATGCTGTTGTATTTTAGTGGGGGCTTTAATGGTTTTTAACTGTTTGTATATTAGTTGCTGTAGATTTTCCGGGTTGTGTGGCCGTGGTCTTGGCATTGTAGAACCTGATGTTTCGCCAGCAGCTGTGACTGGCATCCTCAGAGAGGTATAACACAGAAAGATGGAGTATTCTCTGTGTCAAGGTGAGAAGAAAAATGGTAGGCAGGTAAGAAGAAGGAGAAGAAGAGGAGGAAATTGGATTTATTTATTTATTTATTTTTCATATTTATACCCCACCCTCCCCATGGGCTCAGGGCGGCTTACAAACTCCCTTCCCCTCCCCACAACAGACACCCTGTGAGTTAGAGGTGGGACTGAGAGAACTCTGACACAAACTGCTCTTTCAGGAACAGCTGTGCCAGAGTTTGTGACTGACCCAAGGTCACATCAGCAGGTGCAAGTGGAGGAGTGGAGAATCAAACCCGGTTCTCCCAGATTAGAGTCCGCACACTTAACCACTACACCAAACTGGTCTATTCAGGAAGGTGGGGTAGGGCTGAGTCATTATCTTGTAGGAGTTCCCCAGGCTATGAACATGCTTAATGGAGGAGCTTTCCTGAGGAAGTTCTTTTGTATATGGATTGTTTCCTGAGGAGGTTTCCTGTTTCCTGAGGAGGTTCTTTTGTATGTGGATTTTGTATATTGTTTACTGATTATATCTAATTATATTTATATACTGCATATTGATTATATTTGATGGATCATACCCTCAGCCTGCTATGAAGGGAGGGTGGGATATAATTCCAACAAATAAATAAATAAATAAATGAATGAATGAATGAAAGACAGAGACTACGTTTTAACATATGGGTTTACTCTACGTTGTACTTGGAAAGAGACTCATTCATATCAAAAGCATCTTGTATCACAGGAGAATTTCAGATTGATGCCAATTAAATAAGGAAAAGGCAGATACAGGACAGGAGGCTTTAGCCATTCAGAGCATTCTGGTAGAATGCTGACAAAATCAAGAGTTTGCTACTCTAAGTTACCACCTCAGATGAGATCTCAGGCTACTCTACCGCAATAGTTATTTTGTTGAGTTCTAGTTAAATTTGCAGATACAACTTCCCTGGCTTCCACTGAAGCCTTAAACTTTCACAAAAAGAGAAACCACACTAAAACATAAATTATATATATATATTTTATTTTATTTTAAATGAGAAGCATACATACCTATACTGGAGGTATAATCAGTGGCTCCAAAGATCAACTCTGGCGCCCTATAGTACCGAGAGCAGATGTAAGAGACGTTCGGCTCTCCACGGACCAGCTGTTTTGCACTAAACACAGGGGAACAGAAGAAGAAAGGTACATGTTAGATCTAAAACTCTGCGTCACTGAGTTTCATGCTCACGGCCCGAGAACGCAGCCTTCCTTTGCTGCAGTCCTTAAGGGGGTACTCGTGGAAGACATCTGCAAAGTGGCAATCTGTCTGACACTGCATTGGTTCGCCCAGCTTTATTCGTCGACTGAAAGGAAGCAGCTGCGATAAACGCAATACCAGCCTTACACAGGAATTCTGCCACCTCATTGTGGTAACCAAGTTCACACATCACTGAGATGTGATACTTTAAAGACCACGGAGAAGAGCACATGTTTAGGAGTCTCTCGGGGCAATCCCACCGCACTCCCACCTTTCCTACTCTGCAGGCTCTGAGGAATTCAGTTTTTGGTTAGGGCTTCCACAACTCCACAGGCAAGAGATGAGGGGGAAGGTATAAGCAAAAGGGCAGTTTCTCTAGCAGAAGAGAAGAGAAACAACACCTTCTGTCCCTTGTTTCAGAAGGTAGAACCATAGAATCACAGAGGCTGGAAGGGGCCCTACAGGCCATCTAGTCCAACCCCCTGCTCAGTGCAGGATCAGCCCAGAGCATCCATCCCTGACAAGCGTTTGTCCAGCCGCTGCTTAAGGACTGCCAGTGAGGGGGAGCTCACCACCTCCCCAGGCAGCAGATTCCACTGTTGCACGACTCTGATGGTCAAAAAGTTTTCCCTAAGATCCAGCCCGCACCTTCCTGCCCTCAATTTAAACCCATTCTTGTGAGTCCTCTCCTCTGCTGCCCACAGGAACAGCTCCCTGCCCTCCTCTCAGTGCCAGCCCTTCAAGCACTCCAAGAGAGTAATCATGTTCCCCCTCATGTAGCCACGTTCGTCTGCAGCAGAACAGCTATCTTCCAAGACCAGCAACATCTTAAGAGACCAACCAGATTCTGGAGGGTAGGCGCTTCTGAGAGTCAAGGCGCCCTTTGTCAGATACCGGATAGCCATACCTGACGAAGGGAGCGTTGACTCTCAAGAACTTGTGCCCTAAAAATCTTGTTGGTCTCTAAGGTGCTGTTAAAAAAAAAAAAGATTTTCTATCTCTAAGGTGCTTCTGAGCTTGTGTTCGTAGAAGATCCAACCCATGACGAGGCCTCAGTTCAAAGCATGCATGTCCCTTGTTTTCTTCAGCAAGGGCTCCTTGCTGCCTTCCTATGGTGAGGTTCTCACATTGTTCTAGTCTTCTACTCTGAAGGGGCCAAGAGAGACTGGGTTTATGAACAGGCGACCTGTGTTGCATTCAGACCTCATGGACAAACGAGAAGAGAAGAGAAGAGAAGATTGGATTTATACCCCGCCCTTCATTCAGAGTCTCAGAGGGGCTTACAATCTCCTTCCCCTTCCCACAAGAGACACCCTGAGAGGTAGGTGGGGCTGAGAGAGCTCTTTTGGTCTTGAGAGAACAGCTCTGAAAGAACTTCTGACGGACCCAAGGTCACATCAGCAGCTGCGTGTGGAGGAGTGGGGAATCAAACCCGGTTCTCTCATATTAGAGTCCACGCTCCTAAACCACTACACCAAACTGGCCACAAGAGCACCGAACTTGCGCAAGCCAGACTTGGTATGAGAATCAGCCGCAGCTCTACTAAGGGCTTCACAAAAGGTTTCACTGATTATTTTTATCCCACATCCGTGGCTGGTGTGGCAATAAGACCTGCATAACATAATATTGCAGGTTTTCACGTCACATATCTGTCGTGTTTTTGACTTCCTCTAGAGTGGTGTACAAGGTTGTTCCTTGTTGTATTTTATCCTAACAACCATCTTATGAGGTAGGAGAGAGAAATGACAGGCCCAAGGTCACCCAATGAGTTTCACCATAGGGATCTGAACCTGCGTCTTCCCAGTATGGACTCTGACATTCCATCCATCACACCGCACTGTCTTTCGACAGAGTTCAGTTTGGGAAGCCAATACAGAGCACAGAGCAGATAAAAAGTAATGGTTCTCTACAGAGTTTCCCATTCAGAGCTATGCATGCCCAGGCCATCTGCAGAACATGGCAGCACTCTGGCCCTTCGCCTCGGCTAATGGTTTTAATCTGCCTTTTGATCATACTGAAGATGCCTTCCCTCTCTCTGCCACTTCAGAAAGAGGACCTCCAGATACAGGTTCAGAGACCCAGGAAAAGGGAGAGCAGAGAAAGTTCTGAGGATGCAGAGGCATATAGCGGCACGGATCTTATTAGCATACAGCTTGCACTGAAAACCCTGGTGTTTTGCAGAGATCACCGGGCAACAGGTATTTAGAGAGAAAACAACAGCAGTGAAAAAACACATCCCTGAGGAACTCCAACAGGGAAGAGGAAGGCAGAACACCTTCAGGAAACAAAGGCGATGAACAAGTGGTTCAACAGATGGAGAGCCAGAGACTTCGGAAGAAGGCATGGAGCACAAGGATTATATGTCGAACATTAGGCCCAGTTCACACATTCTGTACCATGCAGGGATTTCTGTTTCTGTCATTTGGCAAAAGACTTCTTCCATGCAATAGCATATGGTAGACAGCCTCACCTCACCCCACCCCACCCTTTCTGATACCAAAGCCAAAACACCATAAATGCTACTTCTCCCTGGATTTCCTCCCATCTACAAACTTCCCACAATCCTTCCCTTTGCCTATTTCAAAATAAAGATAAAGGAACCCTTCCTTTGCTGTCTTTGCCATTCCAAGGTGACGAAGCCAACACGGTATAACAGTCTGAGTGAGGGAGCAGGATGTGGAAGACCTGGATTCAAAACCCCACCTCTCTCACAGAACCTTGCCTGGTGACTTTGGGCCAGTCACTCTTTCAGCCTAACCTGCCCTCCATAGGTTATTGTGAGGATAAAAGTAAGAAGGAAAGAACCATGTATGTCGTCGTCGTCCCCTCCCGGCTCATTGGAGGAAAACTGGGTTAGAAACGTGACAGAGCAAGAGAGAGTATACGTAAGCAAGCTCACTTGCATGGGAGTAAAGGCTCAGTCCCAACTTGAACAACAGCACCTTAAACCTGCTAACAAGGGTATTTCTGACTAGTGAGAACTAGCCTATCTTTAAATAAATCAGGGAGATATACTGAATCCAAGGTTGCCTCTTAAACCAGGCCACTCAACCCCCCAAACAATCATATGTACTGGGTGGGGAGCAAATTTTGGGCTCCTTTGGGCTGATTTATAAAAGGACCTTTCCACAGCAAAAGCTGCTCTGCTAAGCAAAGTTTAGAGCTTCCACTCAGCCTAAGGAACCTTCCTCCAGCGATGGTGGCCCTTTCTCTACCAGAAGAGCTGCTTAAGTTGGAAAAAAGCTTCCCTGGTAGATATTAGATAGATATTTGGATAGAGCAGGTAGAGAAAGAAATACTTTTCTCCCTTTCTCACAATACAAGAACTCGTGGACACTCAATGAAATTGCTGAGCAGTCGGGTTAGAACAGATCAAAGGAAGTCCTTCTTCACCCAAAGAGTGATTAACACATGGAATTCACTGCCACAGGAGGTAGTGGTGGCTACAAGTATAGGCAGCTTCAAGAGGGAATTGGATAGAGATATGGAGCAGAGGTCCATTAGTGGCTATTAGCCACAAGACATAGATAGGAACTCTCAGGCTGGGGCAAGTGATGCTCTGTATTCTTGGTGCTGGGGGGGGGGCAACAGCACGAGGTTCTAGTGTCCTGGCCCCACTGCTGAACCACCTGATGACACTTGGCATTTCTGGCCACTGTGTGACAGAGTGTTGGACTAGATGGGCCATTTGGCCTCATCCAACATTGGCTTCTCTTATGTTCTTATGCTCTTATTGTACAACCAAGTACTCTAGGCAATATAAGAGGTAATATACAACTGGTACCTGCCTATAAAGTCTTACATTGCATAAGTCTATACTATGGGGGGAGGGGTATTATTAAATAAAATATTATAGAAGCAAGAAACAAATAAACGGGGGAGAAGAGGGGAAGTAGTCAATATGATACACAGGCCTGCTCCCTGTGAGTGAATATCCAGACTCGTGATGGGGGCCGACTACTCTGAAGATTTTGCTGAATTCCAAAATAGAGACTGGAACTATTAAAACGGAAACAGCTTTGACACACAGGACAGGATAATCATACTATCCAAAAACAGAGTTCAGACTAGGTCTTAACATACCACAACAAATATGTAAGTTTACGCCGGGATATTAAAGAAAACCTACCTTCCAAAATCACAAAGTTTTAGGACAGCTGTGTCGGGGTCCAGCAAAAGGTTCTGTGGTTTTATATCCCGATGGCATATTCCAAAGGAATGGATATAGGCTAAACTTCGGAATAGTTGATACATGTATAACTGGAATACAAAGAAGAAATAGGGTATATAATGCACCTTTGGTTTCAAATCATGGGTAGATGGTAACACCTAGACAACTACAAATAAATGTACAGTAGCTATAATTTGAAGTATTGCCAACCTATATGGTGAAAGCCATAAAATGTGTAAGATAAATGGCAATCTTTTCTTTTATAGAATACCCCTTTGAAATTGAGAAGGATCCAGGAAAAAGTGCAAGTCACAGGAATCTCTAAGAACTGAGCATGCTCCCCCAGAAAGAAAAAATAGCAAAGCCCCAAACCCAGGGCTGGATTGCCACTGGGTTTATTCAAACATTAGGGAAAAGGAGATACTCCTACCTGCTTCCCCCTTTCCAATGCAAACCCCTATGCGGCACTTCCATGCCTGTCCCAAGAGTCCCCCATCCCTGCGGAACGGCTTTCCCGGGGGCTGCAGCAGGAAGGAGGAGTTGGGAAAGATCCATTCTGTAATCTATTTTTTGTAGATTACAAATATTACTAAAAAGATTTTCAACTCGTACACATTTCAAGTTCACACCCATTCAAGACACTCTACTTTTAGCAGTTCTGGATTTTCATCTCTTTTCAACCCCTTAGGTAAAGGTAAAGGTTTCCCTTGCTCGAAAGCAAGTCGAATCTGACTCTAGGGATGCGGTGCTCATCTCCGTTTCCAAGCCGAAGAGCCAGCGCAACCGAAGACGTTTCTGTGGTCATGTGGCCAGCATGACTAGACGCCGAGGCGCACAGAATGCTGCTACCTTCTCACCGAAGCGGTACCTATTTATCTCTTTGCAATTTCTTGCTTTCAAACTGCTGGGTTGGCAGGAGCTGGGGCCAGAGACGGGAGCTCACTCTGTCATGCCGCACTCGGGTCTCGAACTGCTGAACTACTGACCTTCCAGTCTGCAGCTCAGTGTCTTAACCACTTGAGCCACCGCAGCCCTGTTCAACCCCTTACATGTCATTATTAGGTGTGGCTCTCTCAGATATCAGCACTCGCGCACTGAAGGATGCAATTCTGCACAGATTTACCTGGGAACAGACCTCACAGAAACTGGTGGGACCTACTGACAAGTACACATGCATGGGATTGTGCTACAAGTAAACAAGATTTTTCTAGTACCAAAATCAGGGAGTTCTTGTTCATTTGTTTTGCAGACCTCCAATGTCATTTCATGACAACATGGTAACAGTATAGCAAGGCTGCAGACCAGCCAATGGTACTTCCTTAGCTAGCCTCATAGACAACACTACAGGAAATCAGGGTGGGGTGGGAGGTATGAGGAAGGAGTCTTCTGACACTCTCTGGGGGAAAAGACAACAGAATCACAATTCTCCATTAAAGGAAGGAATTCCAAAGGAGTAGCCATGCTACAAGCACCCAAAGTCAAAACAAGATGGATTTTTGGAGACAGTAGTTTTGTTTCGGTAAGAATCCTGAACTCTTAACACTGTTCCGGGAACCTGAAGTAACAACCCCAAGCAGCAATTTCCATTTATATTTTCAGCTCAGTAGTTCTATTATGCACACCCCTAGTTGTAGTACTTCTGTTACAGTAAAAGTAAAAACAGAATATATAGACGGATGGATAGGGTGAGCAATTTTTTAAAAAATTGAACACACCAGGGTCAAAGATTACCGGTTGAAAGGCAATCATGTAAAATTCATATATAATAAAGAAAAGAACAGAGAACAGTTGCACAGACAGTAGCTGGGGACAATGTATTTTCCCTAGTTTTGCTAAGTTAGTTAACACCTGTAATGGCAGAGGAATCCCACCTCCTTGTTAAGCTCTTGAGAGGAGGTAATGGATGAATTCTAATTTAGCAGGTTCATGCTGGAGGCCCCCTTAGAAGCTTTTTTCCTGGAGAAGAGCTCAGAGATTGAAATGTTCTCCCACTGGTTTCTGAATGCTGCCAATCTGTAACATCAGATGTGTGCCCATTTATTCTTTCTGCACAGGGACTGACTTGTCTGTCATACGTAGAGAGTACCAAAGGCATTGTTAACACACAGCATGTTTCACAGGTTGAACTCAAGATGGCACGGCACAGATGATATTATTAAGGCATACAATAGTATTACCTGTGAATACGGGGACAGAACTGACACCTGCATTTACTGCAGGGTCAGCTCCCTGGATGCCTATCTGATATATGAATCTGTTTTAGATTATAGTGCTGTCTGTGAGTAAGGGAAGGCTTGCCACCAAGGTACATGCGATAAAGATCCATTGTCCAAGAGGGCACACTGAGCTGGGAGCTGGGACAGCCAGAGATGGGGTTTTTTGGATCTGTCATGTAGTAGGCTCCCTCTGGTAGCAGTCTGACCTTTTCAAACTATGTGGGTACTAGGGATGTGTGGGAGGGAAGGCAGCAGGGTATAACCAGATCTCAACAGATCTTGGAAGCTAAGCAGGGTTGGTATTGGAAGGGAGACCACTAAAGAACACGCTGCAGAGGAAGGCACTGGCAAACCACCTCTGCTTCTCCCTTGCCTTGAAAGCCCCTTGCTGGGGTCACTATAAGTCTTGGATGGGAGACCACCAAGCAAGACTCTGCAGAGGAAGGCACTGGCAAACCACCTCTGCTTCTCACTTGCCTTGAAAGCCCCTTCCTGGGGTCACCATAAGTTGGCTGTGACTTGACGGCACTTTACACACACACAGGGATGTGTATTCAGCTATTTCCTGTCTGAATATATATCTGAAAAATATCTAATTGGTATTTTTCAGATATACTCAAATATCCAGATGGTATTTGGAATTTTGGGGGATACCTGTAAATGGGTCCTGAAAAATTCTGGAAATATTTGGGAAAATACAGAAATATTTGAGGCCTACAGTTTAAGGATTCCAGGACTGTTTTTTTCTTCCATCATCTAAGTCAGTGTCTCCTTACCAGGACGTGGTATTGTCTTGCTAGGTTGGTTTGTGTCGGATGCTCTGGTTTGAAATTGGTTCTGTTCGGGCTTGCAAGCAGTATCCCTGGCTTCAGTTTGTTTATCTTGGATTCTCTGGTTGGACATTGTGTTGGTTCTGCTGGGGTTCTCTGGTTTGACATTGGTTCGGTTTGCATTGAGAGGCCTTGGCCAGTGCTTCCTTACTCTTATGTGTTTGGCTACTGGTTTCTTTGCTCTAGAGACTGCATAGGATTTCACTCCATAGGAAACAAGGAAGACTAGCAGGATGCCTGGGGCACCTTGTTCAGGGGCCTGTAGAACTGGACCCTGTGATCAACCCTACTTGAAACCTGGGAGGGTATTTAGTGATTTGGCAGGTCTAGTTCCCTGCAAGTTTAGTGACATTTTTTGAAAAACAGCCCCCCATAAATACTCCCCATAGGGAATAATGGGCCCGGATAATTACAGAATTTTGGGGGGAAACCCAAATCTGAATACCAAACCAGAAGGAACAAACTAGCCCAGTATACCAGAATTTATGCCTTTCCTGAAAACCAAATCAGAAAAATTCCTTCCTCCCCCCCCCCCCAGTGCACATCCCTAGTGGGTATTGTCACCAACAAAACTGCTTGTTGTAACTCTCTGATTTAAATCTGTTCAAGAAACTGGAACAAATGCAAATGCAACACAGCACTTGTATAGTGTACTCAGGTTGACAACTGAATCAGATATAGCTACCAGCGCATTTTCGATATACGGTGGTGCTTATGTGTTCAGTTCTATAGCGTTGTCCAGAAAACAGACCTGTTGTGTGGATTAATCCACGTACCAGATACTGGTGGTTGAAGTTACAGAGAAATCTTGAGTGCTTCCTTCCCAGATGATCAAAATGTTATAGGTACTGTACTGTACTGGAGAGCTGCCTGTAGATATAGCAGTGCTTCATCAGCTCCTAAATCAGCCATGAATGTGTTTGCATTCTATGGATCATGGCTGTACCATTAACTTGAAGATACGAGCTGTCATCAAATCTGAAATAATTACGGGTGAGGAGAAAGTGGCAACGCTTGGTGGAAAGGTATGCGGTGGTATTGTTACAGATATTACTCTTGATAGCTTGTAGTCCATCTTTATGGAAGAGGTCAGTATACAGTGCCTCAGCATCCACGGTGGTCAGAACAGTATTCTCTGAGCAATCGTCAATCAATTATAGAGTCCTAGAGTCAGTAATGTCTAGGACATAACTAGAGATTTCATGGCACAGGTGAGAGATGAGAGTCTCCATAGCCAGAAACATCTACAAGCACAGATTTCTCAAGAAGAAGTCATGTCAGACTAGCCTTATCTCTCTCTCTCTCTCTCTCTCTCTCTCTCTCTCTCTCTCTCTCTCTCTCTCTCTCTCTTTTTCGGTAGAGGTAGTGCTCCTCATGTCAGACTAACCTTATCTCTTTTTTTGAGAAACTTACTACCTTGCTGGATAAGGGGAATGCTGTAGATACAGTTTATCTTGATTTCAGTAAGGCTTTTGATAAGAATCCATGTAATATTCTTTTTGACAAATTGGTAAAATGTGGTTTGGATCCTATGACTGTTAGGTGGATCTGTAACTGGTTGACAGATGGCACCCAAAGAGTGCTTGTGAATGGTTCCTCATCATCTTGGAGAGGAGTGACAAGTGGAATGCCTCAAGGATCTGTCCTGGGACCTGTTTTGTTCAACATCTTTATCAATGATTTGGATGAAGGAATAGAGGGAATGCTTATTAAATTTGCAGGTGATACTAAACTGGGAGGGGTAGCAATACAGTCAAAGACAGAGTCAGGATATAGGATGATCATGACAGGCTGGAAAACTGGGCTAAAACAAAATGAATTTCAATGGGGATAAATGTACAGTTCTGCATTTAAGTAGGAAAAATCAAATGCATAATTATAGGATGGGGAGACTTGTCTTGACAGTAGTATGTGCAAAAAGGATCTAGGGGTCTTAATAGATCATACACTGAGTATGAGTCAGCAATGTGATGTGGTAGCTAAAAAGGCAAAATTCCATTTTGGGCTGTATCAGCAGAAGTATAGTATCCAGAGCATGCAAAG